TGTTTCAAATAAAGTGGATTTTTAAAAGGAATAGGCTGTCATGTTTGTGTTGCTATTCTGTGTTTGCAAATGTTGATAATTCAATTTTACAATGTACAGTATATATTTTGCTCTACGTATAAACAAATGCAATCGTACGTTAACATTTGCTGTATAATAGAATTTAAAAGTTTACATAGGCTTATAATATTAATTATAAATAATAACCATGAATACAGAGATGAAATAAATGACTTGGCAATGTACAATTTAACAAGTTTCAACATTTTAATGACCAATATGTATGAAATAACAATTAAGATCTCAACGTGTACCCAAAACGAAGGAGATTAGGACACCGGGGGCTATTACTTAGCAATGTCAACATCGCTACAGCTTCTTTCATGTAAATTGTTGAATAGCCCTGAACAGGCGTACACTCCACCGAGGCGTAACAATGGATACAAGTTATTACTGACACGCCGGTACCACAAAGCCACAGACAGGTTTAGCGATAAGACAGTGTTGTACGCGCACATTTTTGTTGCCTAGCAGAGAATCAGGTCTGCTGTAGTTTTGTCTCTTATACACATCTCTATGGTTCATTTCAGCCCCTGTTGTGGAATGATGGGAACATGTAGCTACTATAAAAAAGTGCCATTTTACGGTCGCTAGGTAGTCATGGACCGTACTCATACACAATTCAACACAATTACGCTGCGAGTTACGGGTTATTCTCCTACCTTTTACCTTTATCTTTACATTTACCAGATTGAAAAAGGGTACAGTTAGATTCTACCAGTCCCGCTCAGCACTAGAGAAAGGCAACGCCAAGTTGGCGAGTCGTAGGGATGCTTGCGAAAAACGTTCCTGCCTTGCAAGAAACGAATACCTGTTGGCGCTGGGGGCAGCCAATGCCCATCAGCTCCGATACCACACTGTCGACCTTAGGGAATTGCTGAGCGTAAGTATTGATATAATTCTATAGGTTTTTAAAAAATTATATAATTGTTCTATCTTTTATACTTCCTCCCTCTGCTATATCACTTGAAGTTACTTCATTAAAAATTCTGTCAGTTAATCTAAATCCATTAATTTAATAATCTTGAGATAATTTGTCCTCTTTTGGCCTTTTCGCCTTAGTCAAGCCATTTACCTTGCTACCACTCTCAAGTCAGCCTCCCGCAATTTATTTTTAATAAAAGCTAGTAATTATTTTGTTATTACGATGCGAGTTTGCATCAGGAAATATCATAGGAGTGATGTTTTGCCCTACCTGACGTATTAATACGTCAGGTTGAAAACACGAAAGAGGCAATCTAAGAAAGATGAGTTAGATAATTTAAAGAAGAGTCAGAAAAGATGTATTGCGCTGATATTGAAGGTCTGAAAAAGTAATCCATAAGGTTTGCTGATCAGGCCGAGAGTAAATGTAGTCTGACCATAGAGAAATGTTCTATTTTCTCTATGGTCTGACCGTATCGCCAAAAGCGAACAGCCTGCACGTCGAACTGCCGCTGAGAAAAAGTAATTACTGGCAGAAATTGAGGCGAACATTGCTTCAAAATTAGAAGAAATAAAAAATATGTAAATCCAGAAACTACCATACCTATCATGGCATTGTTTCAAATAAAGTGGATTTTTAAAAGGAATATGCTGTCATGTTTGTGTTGCTATTCTGTGTTTGCAAATGTTGATAATTCAATTTTACAATGTACAGTATATATTTTGCTCTACGTATAAACAAATGCAATCGTACGTTAACATTTGCTGTATAATAGAATTTAAAAGTTTACATAGGCTTATAATATTAATTATAAATAATAACCATGAATACAGAGATAAAATAAACGACTTGGCAATGTACAATTTAACAAGTTTCAACATTTTAATGACCAATATGTATGAAATAACAATTAAGATCTCAACGTGTACCCAAAACGAAGGAGATTAGGACACCGGGGGTCCATTACTTAACAATGTCAACATCGCTACAGCTTCTTTCATGTAAATTGTTGAATAGCCCTGAACAGGCGTACACTCCACCGAGGCGTAACAATGGATACAAGTTATTACTGACACGCCGGTACCACAAAGCCACAGACAGGTTTAGCGATAAGACAGTGTTGTACGCGCACATTTTTGTTGCCTAGCAGAGAATCAGGTCTGCTGTAGTTCAACTGTGGGCTCTGTCTTACACTCGTGGGATGAATTCCTTTGCTTATTAGCACACGTGCGAGACAAGCAGAATTTCCCACGAGCGTGAGAAAAAGACACCGATCTATCACCTCTGAATTAGATTTAAGTAAAACTTAATATGCAATCAACCAACAGTCTTTTACTGTGATGGAAACAAAATTGATTTACTAAATAAAAATATGTATAAGAACTTCTTGCAATAAAATTAGTACAGCATGCATGTTGTATAATCAATCGTAAAATTGGCAAATTGTTCTACTTTTATAGTAATAAGAGATATTATGAGTCCTTGAAATTCGGAAAATTTGACCTGGAATGTCCTGGAATTGTCCTGGAAATTTGCTTTTTTAAAAACGTACGAACCCTGTTAGTAGAACAATGTACATGCAGGCACAGGAAGTAATACATTTTTAGAGTAATGTAAGGCATTTAAAACAAGCTAACATTTTATTTCTTTTTATTACAGTTTTTAATTATGTTTTACATTACAAGACCAACAATAAAATCAAATCATTCATCTAGGCCAGGAATACAGTAGGCCCAGATTATTAGTTTGGTAAAAAAAATGAATTTAATGGGCCTCAATATTCCATGTGTGGTTTAAACATGTTTAATACTTGGAAAACAAGTTACTTTGTTGTTAATATTGTTGCAGTGTCATTGGTTTGACATGTGTCTTTATGGGCCTGATAGAGCATGATATTTATTTTGATATTTGTTTCCGAATAATACAACATTCTTAATGCATTATCAATGAAATATAATCAATATATAAACATTCTTTATGTGTTTGATTTTCTTTGGCATATTTAATAAAAGAAATAATATCTTGAATTAGCACAGTAAACTTAGGTAGTTAAACCAAACACAATAATTGATGTTGACTTAAGTATAGTATGGTTATATTGTGCTGTAAATGGTTCTGGGTTATCATTTAATATGATAACCCTGGAAAAATTTATAGCTCAGTGTATCATTGTATGGTAGATAAATACTCCATTAAAGATAGCTATATTAAACAATGATTTGATAACTGTTATGTGTGGGCAGGCAGGTAGGTGCAATATAACAGCTGCACCTCTCTAGTTTGTGTTATACCAAAGAGTAGAGAATGGCAAGGGCCTTGACCGTCCATATTTTGCATGCACGAAAAAGCAGTACAACCATGGTATAGGGGACGTCCTGTTAGAATTTGAATAGATTTCGAAATTTGAACATGCGTTCTATAGATGCAGCACTCGTCCAATACAACTTTTACGTGTATATCTTTTCTTTTGTAAGACTCCTCTAGTTTAGTGGTAGTACTGTTCGAGATAGGATTCCACTTCAAGGAAACCCCGAAAGTCGGACCTCTTGCCATTTTTTAGTGTTTTTTTTGTTTTTTTGTTTGGATTGGATTTATTCGGTATAAACAGCAAGGATAGCCCACGAAAGTCTAGAAGACTTATTTCCAGTGGGGTCCTTCTGGTGGTGAATGGGCAGTACCCTGAGAGAAAATCCCCAACTCATTTATGAACAGTGTACTGCGTTTGTGCCATAAATACACACGGGACCAACGGCTTAAATGTCTCATCCGAAAGACGATGCAGTATTATAACTTGTATTTCAGCCCTCCTGCTGAAATACAAGGAGAGGCAGCGATGGGGATTGAACCAGAGACCTGCTCAGGGATATAGTTATGATGGGCTTAGGTGGGCAGCGGGCCACCCAGCCTTGAAGTTTACCACCTCAGTCTAAAGCTCATTCCATGGCCCTACACCCACTCTATTATTAATCCACTTTACCATTCTTAAAATCCACTCATATTATTTAGAGTTTACCAATGTTATCACCACCCAATCTTAAAATGTCTATCACTCACCCATAGTTTTCTATAGCTACAACCCTGAATGCTATATAAAACACAAGGAGAGGGATGGTTCAGCACACAAGCAGTGGCTACCACCAGTTTAGCAGACTCTGTCTGTGTTGGCTCATATGTGCTGCTCATGTGTACAAGTTTCAGTTTAATAATTAGTTGCATTCCCATTGTGACAACAACCCAGAGAAAGGTTTTTACCTCATCTCTTTTTTGTAGCCCTTCATTTTGCACAATTCTTGGCAACTATTAATGTTTCACTCTCTGAATGTGAGCACATATATAATATCAATATTCGCTGTAGCTGCAATATTGTTCATAAGGCCAGTATAGTTGACCTTAGCTTTTTAGATGCGGGCCTGATAAAGTGCCTTATCAAAGCCTATTTCTGAATAAAATCTGGGTGTCAACTTAGTGACTGCTAATGCATTAAACAGAATACTTCCTGTTTTAATTACCAAACCATATTTTGACCTCAACTGTAGTCACATTTTAGGACAGTACTTAATCTGTACATGGCTTTCAGGTCAAGTCAAAATATAATAGCAATTTAATTAATTTTCAAAGCATTTTTTTTATATATAGTGTAGTCCCTTGGGTAGAAGCCCCCCACTTTTCCTACTTTACACCAAATTTTATGTATTAGCCCTTCCATACTCTCAAAACGAATCAAAATATTGGCTTTGAATTATATAACATTTAAAATTAATGAATATAAAATTCTCATGTTTTTGCTTTTTTTTCCCGTAGGTTTTGGATGGTGATATTTACAAGAAGTTTAAAAACTATCTCTCTGTTTTAAGTACTACAGAAGTTGAGACAAATGTCTTTAGTAGAACATGTTTCGAAAGAGTAATAGTTGACACGGAAATGGTAAGAATTACAAAAAAACACATATAGCCTTTTCTGTCTGCTAAAAAAAAAAAACAACTTAGTAGATAGTAGCTTCTTGATCTTCAAACGTGCAAGTTACCTGTCAATTTAACGCTTAGTCCAGATGATCAACTTTTCATTGATAAAAAAAATGTTGTATGCCCATATATAGTCATGATGTGCCTATATATGGTCATGATGTGATGTCATCATGACCATCTTTGGACATGTTGCATGTGATAGTCTGGATTGGGCATAAGGGTACAAGTCTCCCTGTAATCAAATTTAAGACCCTTCTCTGTGGTCCCACTGTATTATTCTAATTAGATGCAATATAGTGGCAAAATGGGGAGGGAGAGGGAGGCAGTTCTTCGTGGCTGAAAACTGCTAAAGATCATTGAAACTCTGGTCCCAAAAGTGGCCTTAATTGGAAGGTCATGACCTGTATTGCAAAAAAAATTACATGCAGTCACATTTCCCAGTTACAGTACGTACCCCTTCATCTGAATCACGTTCATAATTGGGAAAATTTGTAATTCACAAGAATTGTATGCAGTACAGGAGACAAGCTCCCAGGGCAAATCTCATTAATCATGTCATTGGCAATATGCCAGCTAGCAATATTACAGCCAATCAGAGAATATAGGGCAGAGGATATTTTCATTCTCAAATGGCATAGAGGATGGATGTGCTCACATCAAAATTATCACGCAACCAATGTTGACTATTAGTTAATGATTACAAAAGTTACACAAATATAATAATATTTATAATTTTGTTTCATTATTGTTTTTTTTTTTTGTTTTACTCAGATTGATCGTGAATACCAATTGAAAGTTTTCCTTCAAGACAATCATGTGTTCACAAAAATGTTACAATATCACTTTGATCCGGTGGAAAATGACACTGTAGGTATACCGTTGTGGTGATATGAGTCACCTGTGGCTTACGTCATCGTGGTAATGTTAAACATCAAATATTTATATGTATGTGCATGGGTGTAGGTTCTGGGGGATGGCAGCAATTTGCCCTGTGTGGGTTAAAATGCTAAATATGACCGTTAAGCTTTCATTTAAGTAGGGATTTAGTGCCGCATTCCAGAACTTGGTTCCAGATTTTAATTTTTCGCACCCCTGCTCCCTCCCTACCTTCGCCAAAACGACCCTATGCTTCCAATGATTAATGTGCGAATGAATATGTTTTTTGTGGCTGTAGTCATCACATTCTCATAAAGATTGGTCCTTGGCTTTTGAGAATGTTGGGATTATAGATCATTTTCGAGAAATTTGAAATAAGAATTTCCGATAACATGGCAACTACCACTGGGGGATTTCCAGAGGCCTACGCACTTCACGCTACGTAGTTATTGGTGTATGCGTAGCGCTCTTTTATTACGTTATCTAACTGCTCATGCTAGGCTTAGGCTGCTGGAAGTCCTCCAGTGAGTTGCTAGATGTTGGCGGTGTTGTTGCAAAATAAACCAGATAAAATGGTCTATAAGCATTCTATACTTCCCTAAAGCTGTCTTTGGCTCTAACCAAATCAAACCAAATTTCAATTTATTTAAGGAAAGAACATTCCCCCAAGCCTCTCTTAACCCTTCTTGCTATCTTTCATGTAGTGACCTTATTTCAAGTTTGCCGACTTGGTCACCAAATGATACACTACTGACCATGCGTGCTAACATCGATATGGTCAGTGATTGGTTATTTACTGAATGTAGGCAAACGAACTGTCTGGCAACATGGTAAGAGTTGTCCACCATTAGCAAACTGAACAAATAATGGGGGTGGGGGAGTGAAATATCAGATAGGCCTTGAATTAGACATGGATTGTTGAAAATTTGCCTTTTGATTGACCAGTATAATTTTGTTCATGAACAGACAACTCGTTTACCCTCTCCTAAAAAAAAACAAAAAAAAACAAAAAACTTGGGTGTTGGATTGCTAAATTTTTTCTGGCTTGCTATTTGGCAACCGGATAATTTGTATAAAGAAATGTGCATTTAGATTGTGTTTAAACATTAGTGAATGTCTTTATAGATCATAAATATTTAACTGCATGAACACTTGAACAGTTTATGCTTGTAAACTAGTAAAACCAGTTGTTTTTTTTTTTTTTTTGCTTATGGATGACCCGTTATCTATTTAATTTATTTGTTTGCTTCTTTGGTGATGTTTTCCTCAAATTATATTGTGTAGTATGCTATATCGTTGTTATGTTAATAGCATTATTATTGTTATTTTACTATTATTGTTATCTCTATTGTTTTATTGGTTCCTATGCATAATAGCATAGGAATTATCATTTTAATTATATGGACCTGATGATGTGTGTGTGTACAAAAAAGGCCAACTCAGACAGCGTCATACGACGCAGCTCGGCTCGATTTGTTTTCACGTCAGGGCTTTTTGAGTTAAACGCAGACGCAATGGTTTGTGTTGGGGCAGTCATGTTGTAGAATATTAAACATATTTAATATTTCTCATGACGGCTTAAGACTGTCCCTTACAATGAATCGCGTCGGACTGCGTTGTACTATGCTGTCTGAGTTGGTCTTCACTGTTTACAAACAAGTTGTTTCTGAATGCTGACGTCTATTTTGTGAATACTTATCTGGATAAACTGATAAAGTTTCCTATAAAACTTCGGTAAGCTTCATGTCTGTATACAACAAAGGCGAAAAGGAAATGAGGAAGTTGTTCATTCACGCAGGCGTATATAAACGAGCTTGGGTGATTCCATTATTTTCTTGTATGCTCGAGAGGTGAGTTTTTTAGAAACATTCTTTTATTGGTTTATCCAGGTCAGTATCTTACTCATCATAGACTAGCAAAATCACTGCTGATTTGTTGAATTTAGTTATTTTGGGGCATTTTATTGATTCCTTATTTTTGTGATTTACTTTTTGAAAAATATTACTGTAATGCTGAACGAGATAAATCAACCCCTCTCCCTCACCCTCTTTAAATGGGATCCTTCAATTTGTACAAATAGATCATTTATTATCATCTCCTGTACATCATCACATGTCAATTAAAGGTCATTCCCCGGGTCTGATTTGCCGTTGACATGACAACGTGCACACATATGAATCACTGATAAACAATCTTTAATTGTCCAGCTAATAGTAGTTTCTGGTAGTAGTTGGTATTAACATTACTATACAGTTACTAGGGCTAGTAAACTCCAAGTTAAATGTAGGGCTTGTGTTCTATGCTCCAAATATTTTGCAATTTTATCTCCTCAAAAATTTACTAATAAAAGTAATACTGCTGTACTTAGTGTATTCTGTCATTTATAGAAACTGCAGTCCCGCATAATCATTATGATTGTTCACAGGCCCGTAGCATAGGTGGGTTAAGACGGTTACGACGAACCGCCCAAAAACCTGAGAAGGTCCGCATTTGAAAACAAAAAATTGATATTCCTAGATATATTTACAATGTTCTCCAGAGTATCGGAAATAAGGGTCCACTTTCCACTGAAATGAACCTCCCAAATTAAGTCACGCTATGGTCCTGATAATCACATTAAGTTTGCATGCTATAACAATAAATGAGACATATTTGTCATATTTCTCTAGATTAATTCTGTGGTCATAGACGACACGCAAGCTTTGTACCTAGAAAGGGAGGCAAGAAAATGGGCAACGAATATCGCACACGATTCCAAGACAATAGACGACATAAAGAAAATGATAGACAATCTTCAGAAAATTGACGGAGCTCAGAAGGTAAGCTGTCAAGTACAGGTGTGGATCCAGTAGGGGTTAAAGTTTCAATGCATATCAATGTTTAATGTGGTACTCCATTACCTATTCTGAAACTGTTGTGCCCTCTTCCTCCCCCGTGCCCTCTTCCTCCCCCGTGCCCTCTTCCTCCCCCCTGCCCTCTTCCTCCCACCTCCCCCTTCCTCCCAGTTTGAAAAATTCTAGATATGCCCCTAAAGTAAGTATCTTTATGTTTTATTTCACCTCTATCCACACACTATCAAAATTCTTTGACAAAAAGCTGTTGTATATAATAATCATGGTGTGCCTATACTATATATGGTCATATTGATGTGATGTCATCATGCCTATATTTTCTTGTGTGTAGCTAGACCCGATAAATTGCGACTGGCAGTGTGTGTTCTAAATTGCATTAAAAAAAAATAATCTGTTCTTTTTGAATATGAAAATAAAGAATTTTTTTTTTATGTAATTACAAAAATAATTTATGTTTTTCATTTTGATAGGAACTGAATCGACAGGGCTCGTCTGAAAGTGTCTCAAACAGCGGTAAAGATGGTTTATGGAAAATGTATGATCTGAAAGAAGCGCTGAGAAAGGCCGAAACATCAAAGGTTAAAGCTGATGCTAAGCTAGAAATTGTACGAGGTGCTGGAGGTAAGGCTAGAAATTCACGTAGCCAATGGCATATCTAGGGAAGTGCACGCCTCATATCACCTTATTTTGCTATGGCGCCCCCCTCCCTTCAACTTAATCATTAAAGCCCCTCCCCCACTTCACCTACGCTGCCCTCCAGGTTCTTGATAAGCCAGTGCATGTAGCCTGACTGTTGGTTCTGTTGGCTGGACTACATGGATCTCTAGGCCGGACTAATAGTACCAATTGCTAGTTTAATGAGCCCATAATTAAAAAAAATTTGTCCCAAAGTAAAGACTGTAATATAAAAGTGTAGACCTGTAGGTCATGGCAAAATTTTACCATACATATACTGTAATATAATATTAAGGTAGGCTAAGCTAGAAATTTTACGAGGTGCTGGTGGGAAGACTAGAAGTTCACGTAGCTTTGACTGTTGGTTTTGCTGGCTGGATTAAATGGATCGCTAGGCTGGACTAACGGTACCAATTACCAAAATAATGGACCCATATTTCAGAAACTTTGTCCCATAGACCAAAATATAAAAGTTGGGCATGTAGGTCATTATATATTAGTACTATATGTATAATATAATGTAATATTTAGCTAGGCTAAGCTAGAAATTCTATGAGATGATAGCGGTAAGAATAGAAATTCACGTAGCCTGACTTGTCCAATTGGCTGAACTATGTATCTGTAGGCTGTACTAATAGTACCAATTGCTGGATTATAGGTTTCCATTCCATTTACTAAATTATTATTTATGAATTTGATGGTTTGTTTGCAGTGGATGTTGATCAATGGTTAACTAGTGCATTTGAAGCTGTAGCCAAAGAGGCTGAAGCGGAGGCACAGGCCAGATTGCAGAGCATAGCAAGCAGTCCTGGGGTAAGTATACTAAACCTTCATGACTACTATTTTTGTTTGTTGCTTTTTAGTATCCAATAAACTATATGTGTCTATATTTTTGCTTTGAGCTTTTGCTGCATTTTAAAAATCTGTTACCAACCCAGAAATGATTCTTTGACCACCCTGAACTACTTTCTGAAGTAATAATCATTCAGTTTGAAAACATACACTTAAAGTAATAGGCGGGGTTGGTTTATATACTTTGAACTTTACATACATATGCACAAGTGAAACCACAAGATGGTTTACTGTATATAATAATTTAGTGTGGATGATTATAGGCCTATAGACTTTTCTAGATGTTTGGGGTAAATAGGCCTTTTTATGAAAGGGCCATCCATTTAAAAAAAAAGTATTTTCATAAGAGTGACAACCCCCACCCCCCTCCCTCTTCCACCATCATTTTATCTTTTCCATAAAAGAGTACATAAACCTATAACCCCTTCCCCTGCCTCCTTCCAGCACATGATTTATTTTTTTTTTAAATTGTTGAAAATACCTGGATGCTCCCTGCCTATTGACCCTTGCACTTCCCTTATAAAGCAAACTCTCAACATGTAAGCCAACACTAACTCACCTTTGCAGTCTTCTTCAAACCCATCTTGTGGTTGAAGTTTGTCTTGTTATCGGTATTGCTTTGTATTGTGTCACGTTTGTTAGCGGATAATGGCCCTTGATGGCATATTGAAGCAATAAAGAATTAATTGAAATTAAAATTGAATTGATTGTGGCCTGCTTGCGAGCGTGCAGAATTTTTCCGGGAGACTAATGTCGGTTGGGAAAGACAAGGGGAATGATCCCCAGGGCCCAAGCTTACCAGGGGGCCCATAAAAATTGCAGGTAGCATTTTTCAAAAATAATAATTACTATCATGGGCCCTCAATAATGGCATGGTTCCCATAATAATGGGCCCCTCCAGATTGATTGGGCCCAAAAAAAAAAGAATGTCCAATTTTTCTTACCCTTTGCACCTGTGACTGGGTCCCACACCAACCATTGCCCCTGTTACAGTTTCCCGTCTCTGCGGCCCTCCCTCCTGCACCACTGAATTTATACTTGGATTAGTAAAGCTGTAACCTTCAAACCTTTCCGCTAAACCACGCCCCTTGGATATTGTTGCTAAGGTGTGCTTATGAAGATGCATGTTCTCATTGGTCAGTTGTTAAGTTTAATTGACAATCCGGAAAGTTATTACATTTTTTTTTTTTCAGGAGGCTGATTCTACGTTTGATGACAGTTTTTGGACAAACAACAACGAATCACAACATGGGCATACTTCAAGTTTACTTTCCCACGATGCACCTAAATCATTTAGGTGTTCTGCGCTCTATTCCTATGAGGTACAAATTTGTTTTGAATAGAGTATAAAATAATTTGGTTTAAATGCACATAATATTAACACCCACAGAGATACTCCAATCTATTTATTATAAACATTTAAAGAAAACAATTGGCCAAGGGTCGAACACAACAGTAGATGTCTTCTTGAGGAGTTATTGGTGGTCCCTTAGTCTGGGACGACGGACATATCCTGGCATTATCACTACATAATATATAGAAAACTGTACACCTGAATTAACCTTTGTATTATTGAATTGACCTTTCGACATCCTGTATTGAGGAAGTTCAGTCAAATAAAATACTCAGGAAGGTTGCCTGTGTAATTTGAAAGTGGGAAGCGTGTTGGAAAGGCTTCAGTTCTCAAATTTCCGGATCTTGGGTTCGGTTCTTACATTGATCATATTGCCTTTGTTTGCACAAGTGCAAGATATATTACATCTTCAGCGTGGTGCTTTGTAGGATGTGACAGTTAAAGACCGTGTATCTGCAGCACTTATTACCCAATAAATTAACTGAAAGCAGTCATTTTGTTTTTGTTTTTTTGCACCGGAAACGAGGCGCCAAAAGTTTTGGATAAATTTTTGAATAAGGATCAGATAATTTATTGGAAATAGCTCCATATGCGAAAATAACCTTTGACCGATGTAAAAATCACTGTCATGCCAAGAATTCTTTTGAGTAGTTAGTTTCTAAGGCAACTAGTAGTTAGTAGACCTAAGGGCCTGACCTAGTATCTAACACTTCATAATAAACAGTAAATGAATTTTTTGTGTTTATTTAATATAAAAATTAAAGCCTGAAACAGCTGCGCTCAATGTTAATTGTACCGTAAAGCACATTAAACAAAGTTAAAATTCCTTTCAGTTCCGTGTTATTCTCCGTCCCTAGAAATACAATGAAACATCATTGTGGCAGTACAGAGTGCATTTTACAGAGTGAAAGTACCGAACAATTTCGTTCTTGGCCTAGGTCAACAAAATGGATGTTTCGATGCTGAACACGTTGCTTTGTTGTCCATAATTTTTAATTAATTTAGATAACTTAAATGTTAAACATACTTGGGATTTTGCTGACTTCTTCTGAGACTTCTTAATGAGTGAAAGACCTTTCATGTTGTGAGTCTTTTAAACAAATATCAAACTTTAATCTTTTTAAATATACTTAATAAATACATATCAATTTAAATTATATAATTATCACAATTACTCTACTACAAACATTTTGTGATTATTATTACACATAGTCTCAGTTATTGTTTAGTTTTCCACCAATCAGCTGCAAGTCTCACTATCCAAACACAAGTATTTCCCTGTTTTGATTCTGTAGATATTATTCTATTTTATTATTATTATTATTATATTATTATTTTATTATTATTATTATTATTATTTAAAGACAATTAAAGCAACTCAATCAAAACATTGAGACATTCTCAACAAAACAACAGTTCTTTTCAGAACCCTCTCATTATACCTAGTGAGACAGATATCACGCACTGTGTGTAAATTGTATTGAAGTGGATTATTATTGCTGGTATTTTCGTATTTCCAATGTGTTTATTATATTTAATAGAAAAATCATTAAACCTTCGGTACACTTGGTTTTTAAGGCACAGTAAAACCACTGGTTGGTTGTCTTGATGTTTCAGCGAGGTTGCTCTGACCTTCATTAGGAGAATGGTCTCAAACCAAATAGAGATTGTGATCGTCTGGGATCATTTTATGATATTCTATATTTGTTATAATAACTTATATTGTTATTTTTGACCTAATCTGTTCATTATCTATTGCAGGCCCAAAGAGATGATGAATTAACAATTCATGAATTGGAAGATTTGAATATATTGGAAGATTCTGAAGGGGATGGGTGGATAAAGGTGAGAGGTCAAATTACTCTTTAGGTTACATTCAGTGTCAAAGGTAATGAAAACAGGACATTGACTACATTATAACAATATGTATCTTTCACTTCTATTGTTATATCAATAATTCTCATGAATGATGGATTAAGGTGAGAGGTCAAATGACTATTTTGTTTTCATTTAATGTCAAAGATCAAAGCAATGGGACATTGACCTTATATAGATATATATCTTGCAACTCTATTGTTGTATCAATAATTCTGAAGAATGATGGATTAAGGTGAAAGGTCAAATTATTTTGTTTTCATTTAATGTCAAAATGTCAAAGGCAACAGGACATTGACCTTAAATAAATATGTATCTTGCAACTCTAGGGTTATATTAATAATTCTCATAAATGGTTCACTAATTCTTGTGTGTCTCCCTCTATATTTTAATAGTCACCAAGGCAATTCAACAACAGGACACACATCTCTGCTTGGGAACATGGCGTGTGCGTACAGTCCTTTGATCTTTACTGTGGCATCGACAGTCGAATAATAGTTGCGAGTATAGCCGACAATTGATGTCGACACGAGCACAACAATTTGATTTGTGAAAATTGACCAACAAACTGAAAAGTTATAGCTAATGAAAATTCATGATTTTCATAAAAATTCATGTTCTTACAAACATTAAACTGTCATTTTGACAACATTGGACTAAGTTGCACTAAACGAACGTTTACCTGATACCACCTCATCTGTAAAATTAATGTTGAAGTAATTGATATAATTTCAGTCTAATATTAGTGAAAAAAATCTTTAGGCCTTTGTAATCACCGCACAATGCGCGATTATCATGGCAACTGACATGAGCGTGGGTAATTCACATTTCCAGTGCACCGCTCTTAATATCATCTGTACGGTTTGAAATGTTCCTACCACTACTGATTGTTGATGAGGTCTCTTGTATTTTGTTGAGCATCAAATATATAGGAACATTCAATGATGTCCTGAGATGTGCGTCCTGTTGTTGAATTGCCTTGCAGATGCCAAACAGAAAATGAGTGTATATTTTGATTTAAGTTAACTAAATAATTTTGTTTCCATCACTAGGCTCAAAACTTGTCAGGTGCAATAGGTTACATACCCGAGTCATATATTATTAAGAATACGCCCTCTACAGACAAACCTAAGGACAGTTATTCCATTTTATCTTCATCTCAAATTGTCCCATCCTCATCGTCCTCATCGCTGGCCGCTGATACTGAAGTACAAGGTCTTACACATAAAAACACGCTGCGGAAATCAGGTTAGTTTGAGAATTTGGTTTTTTTTTTCATTTTTTCATAATTTTTCCACATATGTGGCAAAGACAAACCAGTCACTCTTAGCAAAAATCGATGTTGAGTTATTAATACAGTGTTAGAGAGTAAAATAATAGCTATAAAATGGTAAAAAAATCATTCAAATCGGACATTTCCTTATGAAGTTACAAGCTTTTAACCACACAGCTGTTTAAAGAACAATATATGAGAAATTAAACGTCAAAGTTTATGATTTCAGGCATTTCTCATACAGAAACTATCTTTAAATCCTTAAAAAGTATTGTTTTAACATTGAAAATGGGGAAAATAACAGCATAGAATGATGTGTAGATATATAAATGTTAGTTTAGTGCAATAAAATAGATTTTTTAAAATTTGACATTCCAGCATGTTTTGGCCATTTTCTCTGAAACACGATTTGCGACGAGTAACTGATTTGGCTTGTCTTTGCCACATATAGTAATGTTAATTCACCTCAGTAGTGAATGACAATGTGCACTTTGAGTAAATACATTGTCATATAGCAGTACTCAACATTGCATTCTGCTGTTGATATTGGTGCAAATAGCTACTGTTAAGGGATGTACTTATTAATATGTCATCTGTTTTTGCCTAGTGAAAACTTAAAAATATTATTCAATATATTTTATTTGCATTTGTATAAAATTAAGTAATTTATTTGATTTCAATTTAAATTAGAAAGAAAAAAAATGTCAGAGGCATTTTTTGTTTTTGTTTTCTTTGCATAGAACCTTTTTCTAGTATTCAATCAAATTGCATTCTAATGTAATGTGGTTGGATTTATATAGCGCTTTATACTGAAGTCTCAAAGCGCTTGAGGTGTGGACTAGCTCGCACAGTAACTTTCATCTTCCAAAGAGTCTGTTTGTGTCTAAGTTACCCGGTAAACCGGTACCAGCTGTCTCTTGTCTGTCCACAACAGGGGCTGTATGAACCAGTACACTGGGGTAACCCCCTACTCATCTCGAAAGATGAACTGGGTTCTTTATAGTGTACGATGGGCCTACAGTTAATAGTCCTTATCTGAAAAGACTTGTTCCAGAACCATAGCCGAGCGTGCCGTTTGAACCATCACCGATATTATGGCTGTAGGTTTGTAGGGCCCCTGCTTTAACTGCTCGGCCATCCAACTTACCACATCGTTAATTAGTTGTGTCTATCCTTTAATCTTTTTGCTTTTATTTCGTGAAGTATGCATGGTGAAAGCTGTATTTGACTACACTGGAGAGTCTGCGGAGGAATTGTCATTCCAAGAGGGCGCTATTATCAAAGTCATTCGGAAGGATGAGAATGGAGTGGACGATGGTTTCTGGGAAGGGGAAATAAATGGACATGTTGGGGTTTTTCCATCTCTGCTTGTTGAAGAAATAGGCGGCTCGGATGGTTCCCAGTCTTCAGAGGTAGGGGAGCAATCTGGTTTCTAATGATGATTCTCATATTTGATATATACATATAATGAATGTTTATGACTGCAATGGGAAGAATATTTTCATAAATTAAAAGATAGACGGTGGAACAAAATTTTCATGGTGAGTGACGAAATGGGGTAAATAACCAATGTCACATGATACGAAATCCACCAATCAATTGACAATGATCTATTTAGGGGTGTTATAAATGGTATTCATTTTTTAAGTAGCTCTCTTATTATTTTAAATATTGTCATCATCATCTTTTATTTATTTTGCAACTTACCAAGTACAATCAAATACAAAATACATAAAGCAAATATCTAAAATCATCATGCTTGTCACCATCATTTTTAGAAGATAGATTTCAGATTTTCTCACTTTTGAGTTTGTTCTGTCGTTCAAATACTCATTCCAACTTTAGGTAAAATCCGTAAATACAAAGGCCAACTCCCAACCAGAAATCAATGTCCCTTCACGGGAATATGAACAAATCGATGATGACACAACTGATAAAAGACTGGTGTCATCTGACATCTACGACTACCCGGAACTGCTACCAGGAAGTTCACCTCAATTGCCTGAGGTTCCCGAAAGATTCCCTGAAACTCCTGAGAGAATTTCTGAACCCAAATATGCCGTTGTTTCTAAAGCCAGGGGAAAAAAGGTCATAGGCATATTTGCATATGCATGATTTGGCTATGAATATGCATGTTTGCTGTTTGTTCTCTGGATGAATGAATGAATTAATGAATGAATTTCTTTGACTTCAGCATGAACAATTGATTAACATTTATATTTCATAAGAAAATTTTCCAGTAGTCTCTTTCCTACTTGCGAATAAATTTGTGCGAAATGAAAGCATATGACTGTACATATGCGCAATTTAATTTACATACAGAGTCAACTGTTGTGGCAACGTCTTTTTATTCGTGTGATTAAATTCGTCTAATGGAAAACCGGCTATAATTATTTTGTTTCAGTTCTTGTTTAATTTGTATTAAAAATAATCAACTTTTGTTTGTTTTTTAACAGAGCCCAGAGCCAATATTTGCGCCTCCTGAGTTTGAGCCTCCAAATCTACCCTTACCGCCATCACCACAATTACCGCAGGAAGTGCCAAACGACATCTATACCGAGATTGATCACTCTACTGCTACAGGTAATTTCATTTTTGTGTCTACTGCCTGCATGGGTTGCAACTAGACACTTTCCTATCGTAAGAGTAAATCCTGTTGGAGGAATAATGGTATACCCGTCAGTCTTGTCTTGTAAGCCTACGAAATATGATGCTATCATGCCTTAGGCCTGTCAAAGAAAGAGCCAAAATAATGCTCATTTAGGCCTACTGTGCTGCTGTGCATACTTGTGAATTAAAAGTAGCAAAAACAAAATTCTTTTGTATTTCTTTTTTAATTTTAGAATCAATTACAAGTTCTAGTCCAACAATTTCAAGCCCGCCAAGTCTCTACCCAACACCAAGACCTGTTATTCTTAAACCCGTAAGTATATGAATGAATTGTAAATCATTGGAGGCTAGTTATGTGATGATTGTAAAGGGGATGATGATAAACATAATTGTGATCATGGTTTGGATTATTTTGATGATTGAGATACTGTAATTATTGTAATAAGGATGAGGATGAACCAAGAAGATGGTGATGATGATGATAAAGATGATGATAAATGATGAAGATGATAGTAAATGATAATGATGATAATAATGATAATCATTACTGATGATGGTTAGAACACTAGCACTAATTACTTTAATGCAATAATGCAATAAAATTAGATATTTGCATACACTAAATACATTCATTTGCACTATGATTCTCTCAAGTGTGGTTTTTAGACATATTTCATGTGCTGTATATGAATGGATGTATTCGGTGTAAACACCAAGGATAACCCACTAAAGTCTAAAGAAGAAGACTTATTTCCAGTGGGGTCCTTCTGGTTGTGATTGGGCAGTACACCGGGAGACAATCCCCTACTCTTTTCCGAAGGGTGTACTGCGTTCTTTAACATGCACATGGACCATAATGCACACTGGACCAACGGCTTAGAAATCTCATCTGAAAGACGGTGTGCTATCATAACTTGCATTTCAGCCCTCCAGCTGAAATACAAGGAGAGCAGTGATGGAAATTGAACTGGGGACCAAGAGATCTCCACGGTTGAGCGCACACACAATGGCTACCACCAGTTTAGCCAACTGAGCTAAGCCGTTCTCATTTCTAATATAAATTGATAGATTTTGATGAGACTATTAAATTTTGTTTAAATATCTTTATTTTCTGGTAGGTCCGAGCAGCACCACCGCCACCAAAACCTAAGAAGCAAAGCAGCATCGAATCTCCACCTCCGCCGCCACCATCCTCATCTCCTCCATATTTGGATGAAGATGATTTTCCCCCTCCTCCTGTCGAACTGATGTATGATGATGGCGTCATTTCTGAAATTTGATGCAAATATATTGCTCTTCTCTTTATTGTTAAATGAGGACTGCTGCACATATGAATATGAAAAAACAGATTTATGAATGTAAGAGGCCCCACGCAAATGCAACACATCGCGCCAAAATGAACCAAGAAATACCGGCATACGTCTAAAGATTTACCATTTACCTACAGGAGTGCACACATGAGTGTGCAGCGCACAAACCAGAACCTTGTGCGTGAACGTGCAGGAAACGAACATGCTGGCTTCACGTATAAGTGCTGATCAATCTCACGATAGTCAAATCAACAGCCAACAATCAGAATCATTTTTATAGAACTGCCATTTAATATATTTTCTTACTGTCTCTAACAGGACATCGATTTTTATAAAAATTAAATAAATATTAGTATGACACTGTTTTACAAGGTTGATTGAAAATGGACAGGTTTGTTTTAGATAACAGGGTTTAAAAAAAGGACAACTTTCAGATTTACAACATTTGCAAGATAATTGTAAAGTAAGTTAGTAAAAAACAATAGCTGTCACTTGATCTTATTTACATATGTGAGTGTCACATGGGTAGTAAAAAAAAAATAGCTGTCACTTGATCTTATTTACATATGCGAGTGTCACATGGGTTGCAACTCTCCTGCAAATGGATACGGCCTCTAGCACTTCCACAAGCAAGCAAGAATGTCCCAGAAAAATAAATCCCACAGATGTATTATTTTACATGTTCTTACTACTTTTAAAGTATTTGTCAATTGTTTCACGGAAGTATGTGGTGATGGGTGTCACCATGTCACGTGCAGCAAAATAAAATTAAATATGCTATTAAGAAAGCTCATTTAAACAAGATCTCCCAGAGGAGACTTCTGCCAACTTGCGACACATGGTTGAGAACTCACTTCTTTCAACTTGACCTTATTTGCATATTTGTGTGTCGCTGCATTAAAGTGGGGCAGAAAGAAATAGACAGTGGATATTTTGTAGAATTCCTTTTCACAAAATATTGTCATTAAGATTAGCAAAGGCACAATTAAGAAAAAAATCATAAAAATCAACACACCTCCAAAAAGTTAAAATATATTAAAAAATTTGCTTTTTATTACAAAAACATTTTATAAACAATAACAGTAATATTTTGTGGCAGTAAAGATATGGAAATTAATACTGTGTTAATTGCTTTGTGGGATTGTATTAGTCTCAGTGAGAAATGAAAAAAAGGGTATGAAAAAGATATGTTCATTATTTCGAAGGACTGTAATTTGAATATAGGACAGTTTTGTGGACATTTTTAAAAATCTGCATTGAAAATAAATTTTCATACATATGTATATAATTAGTACATTGTTTAGGAGTATGATTGTAAAACTTTGTTAATAAGGAATGTCATTGTATAAAAAATATCCTATTTGAAGAATCTCAGCACCTGATGAACGATTTCTGATAGTTGGGAAAATGGAGTGAAAAAGTGGAAGGGAGAAAGAGAGGAAATAAGGGTAAGGAACATGGGGATGTAATTTTAGAATTTGAATCCATAAATGTTTAAGTTATGGCTAAATGTTGGTATGGGAATCAGTTATTTTACAATTATAAGAAGGTGGGGAGGGGATCTGTTGGGGTTGAGAACCTGCTCTATTCTTTTCTTGGATGAGCAAATGAGTTATACATTTATAATGATATTTCATCAACATTAGCGTATGTGCATTCTTCTAAAAATGATCATAAAAATGACAACATATTTTGAAGGTAGAACAGTGACAGAAAGTGCTATATTTTTTTTTTCATATTTGCTGGTGATAAAAATATTAAATGTATATAGGTGAATATTAATTACTATGAAACTCCTCAAAATGAAAGTACTGTAGATATCAGTGTTTAATAGTGATACTAGAAATTGATAAGCATTTATTAATAATAGTTAGTAGAACTCAACTATAGCCAAAACAATTGTTAATATAAAAATATAAATATACTTAAAAATTGCATCAAAAACTACATTATGATGTACATATAAAGAGGGTAATATGAAATTAGGTATGGAGTAACCTCTAGTCAGAGACATAAGAATGTCGGCAGTGGCTATTGTTACACCATACTTAAACGAATTCCTAAATCTGATTGGATGATATTGTCCTAATTCAATATACTGTAATAAACAGGGGATTGTATCTGTCTCTTATACACATCTAGATGTGTATAAGAGACAGGAGTAGGTGGTTACCCCTGTATACTGGTCCATTCAACCCCTGTCAATGTGGACAGACGAAAGTGCACCTTTTGGCAGCTGATTGACATGATGTGACCTTTACCTCCTACCTTTATGTTGTGATGTCATCATGACCTTATTTAGGCGTGTCACCTGTTTTTGCCACATGAAATTTGATAGCCTGGTCAGAGCATTAAAGATTAGGTTTATAATGATTACATTTCTACATTCTGTACAAAGTAATGAATAACTAAACAAATTAAACTTTGGTGCTAAAATATAAGTATATAAATATTTCTGATTCATTTTGTTGTCAAGAATTTGAAACAGCAATACCATATTGTGAGGTATTTTAATTGCGCGGATGATACCATTACATAAACTCATGGCCGCCGAAACCGCACTCGGGCCCCGGGACATCTTCGCTGCCCGGGCCCATTGGTTGGGGGGGGGGTTTTATACACATCTAGATGTGTATAAGAGACAGCCTAGGGCCTCAGCGGGATCGAGAGGCAGATCCCTGGTTCAGTGGCGGCTCTAGGATTTCAGGGGGGCTAACTTGTGCGACGGGGGACATGAGCTGGAGAAAAAATATGTCCAGGGTCCTCCCAAATATGTCCAGGGTCCAAGAATTTTATAATTAGGGCCTATTAATTAATAACGAAAAGAGTTTACTATTTGATACATTGTAAACATAAACTGCAGAGTAGTAGTATTCATGAAAAAAAATCAGTAACGATTAATTACCAGCTTTCATCGATAAACGGTCAGCTTTTTGCAATTATTGTGGGAAAACACATGAATAATACTGGATGAATGTATACGTTTAAATATTTTTATTTACTTATATCATTTTATTATTGTTTACGTAGTTATCCCGGGCCCGGGGCAGTTGCCCGGTTACCCCTGCATCTCGGCGCCACTGCATGATAAACTAGCTCAAGCTGGCGGCGCACTCCCCGGGTAGGCAAAAGATTATCAGGCAAATAAGATTATCAGGCAAATGCTTTGGGAATAAGTACACGGGTTAGCTTTATTTTTGTGGTGCCAAAAATTTGAAAGCTATATGGATGAAATTCACTTATGGCATAGTTTTCGAATTAACAGAAAAATATAAATCTAAGAAATAACAGCATTAAGGCCTCGATAGGCCTATAAACTAATTGTTTACCACTCGGTGACGCTATGCTAATTTTCAGGAGGAACGTTTTACATTCTTTTGAATGAATGAAATAATTACCCCGCAAATAATCATTACAGCAAAATAACAACTCCCTGCAGCAACGTTTGGTAAACATTATAGTTGCCTAAAAATGATATTAAAGTCTGGCACACATAATTGTGGTGCGTCCGAAATATCTTAATACTAATACACATAACATAAAAAAACTTAATAGTCAATACAAAGGAATGTTATACAGTATTCAGTATTAAAAAAAAACACACAATAATACACTAGTACAAGTAACAGATTCGAATTCAAATTTTGAGCACTCACAACCAAGAGTAAACAAATAAAATTCACTAGCATGTTGAAATGCAAATTTACGCACATGTCATTATAAACATACCACCGTAAGTTGTACTAAAATAACATTTTCACCTAAACATATACACTTTTCTTTTTATAAGAACCAGTTAAATGCCGCTCAGTGTTCTTATTTTTTTGCCAATTTCAAGCTCAAAATGTTCTTATTTTGATCTTATTTTTACACACTTATCAAGCATTAAGGGATACTCGGAGAAAATCAAGAAATCACTACGTAATTTTGGTATTCAATCTAGCCTCAACAAATACCTCCGAGGGAAACTAGTATAAGTAAAGGACAGAACACCAAAAGAGAAAACCTCACATGTTGTCTATGGAGTTAAGTGCTCATCACCAGGTTGCAGCGAAATATATAGGGGAGACAGCAAATTACGAGCCAGAGTCAAACAACATCGCAGACCTTGTGCAAGTAAAGCACAGGAATCGGCATTCTTCCAACACCTCAAGCTGGACACATATCTAAACCAGACGTTCTTATCCTAGATAAAGAGGTTAATTGGTTCAAATTAAAGAAAGGTTAAAGAATTGATCTAGGAGAGGGTAGAGAACCCTAGTTTGAACCGAAAGGGAGGACGTTTTCAACCAGGGCTTTAGACCGGGTACTGTGCAGCATTCCTCGCCACCTGTCTCGTGATCTCCGGTCAGTTGTCTGAAGAAATTCAGCGGAGCTGGACGAAACGTCACCCAACGTTAATTATAGTAAGTCCCAGATTTTTTTAAAATTTAAATATAATTTTATACTTATCACTTACTGGATGAATAACAATATTCACAGATTGGATAAATAAGAACAGTTGCAGGACATTACCAAAAAGTGTCTACTAATCTATGTAGAAACTTCCTATTTCCTATATCTTCAACATGTCAAAAATATAATAATAATTTATAAGAAATGTACAGTATTTAGTAAGGCCCTATAAATTAATGGCCTTATTTAAACATAGGCTATACACTTTTCTTTCTATAAGAAACAGCAAAATTTTGTCCAGGCTCAGTGTTCTAATTTTTTTTGGCCAAATTCAAATGCACAGAGAGTACAGATCTGAAATGGTTGCAGTATAGAATTATACATTATATTACCAACGAGAAATTATCTCTAGATTAAAGTACATTGATTCACCATTATGTATTTTTTGTAAGCAATTTCCTGAAACAATTGACCACATTTTTTGGGATTGTGAAAAAATATATAAGATATGGAAAGGTTTGGAAAGCTGGATAAATAAAAACCTTCAAATACAATTACACTTTTCAAAGGAAATGATAATACTTGGAATGAATGGAAAAATAATAACTGTATAAATGCTGTTATTATATTAGTAAAGTAAATTATCTATAGAAATAGTAAACAGAAAGTATTGCCATATATAACAAATATAAAGAGAGAAATTGTTAGATACTATGATATGACAAGATATATATATATTTTTCCGCCTGTAATCAAGAGAAATTCTTTTCATATAGGTTTTCACTGCATGTTCTTTTTCAAAGCTTCAAATAAATAATGAATATTTAAATGTTTCAAGTCATGGCCTTACCCTGGCTTCTGGTATATAAATAGTTCACCTAACGTAATGGTACAACAAGTTTTGAATATGAAATACAGTATCATATTTTCACTAGTAAAAGAATTTATAAAAATGTTCAATGTTGTTATATGTATACTACTCTATGTATTGAAAAGAAGGGCACTTATTTAATTGTTTTTGTTTATTTTAATTTTGATTAAATGAATAAAATGGTAAATTAAAAAAAATCAAGCTCAAAATCTTCTTATTTTGTTCTTATTTTTACACCTTTCAAACATCTAACAATTTATTTTACAGCAGTATATTACTGCTGTAATAAAGAGGGTATTGTGTATATATTACATCACATCAACCGCACTTAAGTTAGGCCCTACAGATAAAATTTGTTGGTTTTCTGACCTTTTGACCTCTAGTGCCCTTAGAGCATATAAATATATAATAGTTGTAGCATACGGTATATTAAAAAAGCTGTCTACTAATCTATGTGGAAACTTCCTATTTCCTATATCTTCAACATGTCACAATTATATAATTTCTAAGAGAAATGTACAGTAAATAGTAAGGCAATATAAACTAATCGCCTCACTTCATTTATCCTAGTTCCTACCTAAACATATACACTTTTTTTTTTATAAGAACCAGTTAAATTTTGCCGCTCAAATGTTCTTATTTTTTTGCCAATTTCAAGCTCAAAATGTTCTTATTTTGTTCTTATTTTTATACACTTTTCAAACATCAAAAATTATTATTTTACAGCAGTATACAGGTATTACTGTACTGTAATAAAAAGGGGATTGTATAGTATTACATCATACCTACCGCACATAAAAGTAAAGACAAAAAGATTGACTTGGTAGACTTGAAACACTAAATTTATTATTCACATGAATATTTCGGCCTGTCCTCAGGCCTTCTTCAGCATGAGTGACAAACATTATGTAAGTTGGCTGTTACAGAAATCTCAATATAATAAAACAAATACATTGATTGGTTTAAAATTCTAACAAAGTGTAATGCACATGGTGATAGGCTGAAAAATACTAGGAGGTATATTTAACATATATATATAAGATGTGTATAAGAGACAGTTTTAAGCCTCAGTGTTCTTATGAAATGTGTTTACCCTACAATTTCAACACTAACATGACTATAAGCTGCTCGAGGCTGCCTCTCCTTGTGTTTCAGCTGGAGGGCTGAAATACAAGTTACAATAGCGCACCGTCTTTCGGATGAGACGTTTAAGCCGTTGGTCCCGTGAGCATTTATGGCTCATGTGCACGTTAAAGAACGCAGTACACTCTTCGGAAAAGAGTAGGGGATTGTCTCCCAGTGTACTGCCCAATCACCACCAGAAGGACCCCACTGGAATTAAATCTTCTTCTAGACTTTTGTGAGCTATCCTTGTTGTTTACACCGAATAAATCCAATCTAATCAAATCCTACTAAAGTTAATCATGGACACAGTAAATGCATAACGTTCACCACCACATTTATCTATGAGTTGTCTTGGTGAAATACGGTAACCTGGACGTTTGGGGTCTAGGCC